CAAGTATTCCTGCAGTGCCCAACAACCAAGTATCCCTGCAGTGCCCAACTGCGGAATATCCCTGCAGTGCCCAACCGCAAAGTATCCCTGCAGTGCCCAACCACCAAATATCCCTGCAGGGCCCAACCGAAAAGTATCCCTGCAGTGCCCAACCGCAGAGTATCCCTGGAGTGCCCAACAGCAGAGTATCAATGTTCTTGCAGCGCGTTTGCAGTGCTGCAAGGAAGACAGTTGAGGGTGGGGCAGGGAAAACGTTACTTCTTGTGCAAAAACGGCTTTAGGGTGGGGATGCTCGAAGTAAACAATTATTTTAAGAGGGTTATATATAGCCCTTGATATGACCCCTAATATAGACTGTTACTGGGGGAGGGGGGGGAGGGGCAGTACCCAATCTAAACCCTAAACCCTACACCCTAAACCTTGGCACTCCAAAGGCTGCAAATGCTTTGAATCACAAGCTGTTAAGGAATCTGGAACATGCAAAAACATCCACTGTAGGCGTTCCTATCAGATCGTCACATACCTTGGGTACTGCCCCCACCCAGTAACAGTCTACATTAGGCGTCCTATTAAGGGCTATATATAACCATAATATAATTATTATCCAACTGTTACTGAGGGGGGGGCCATACCCAACACATACCCTATATTCTATGTACTTAAAAGTACTTAAGGGGGGGGCTAGACCCTAAACCCTAAACCCTAATCCTAACCCCCTAAACCCCATATTCTATCTACTTAAGGGGGGACTATATCCCTAAACCCCACATTATCCTTAAACCCCGTATTCTATCTACTTAAGGGGGGACGATATCCCTAAACCCTAATCCTTAAACCCCATATTCTATCTACTTGAGGGGGGACGCGATCCCTAAACCCTAATCCTTAAACCCCATATTCTATCTACTTCAGGGGGGGCTATATTCCGATATCAAGGTCAGACCTGGGAATTTTGAGACGTTTGGGCTCTAGGGATATAGTCCCCCCTTCAGTAGATAGAAGATGGGGTTTAGGGTTTAGGGTTTAAGGGTTTAGTGTTTAGGGCTTAGGGTTTAAGGGTTTAGGGTTTAGGGGTTGTAGCCCCCCTTAAGTAGATAGAATATGGGATGGATGGGGATCTTACTATAATATACCCAAAGCTATATTCTTCTATGTACTTAAGGGGGACTATATCTGAACATCAGCAAACTCAGGCCATTGAGACTCTGACGGACAATTCCGTCTCCCGTGGGGGGAAGAGCGTGCAAAGCCTGCAGGCTTATGGTATTTTACTGGGCTGCTCTTAAAGAACTTAGACTCCGTAAGGTACCATACTATACTTAGATTTTAGGAAACTACCATACTACAGCAATACAAAATTAAGGTGCCATGCTAATGTCAAACAATAAGAAGGATGGTTTCCGAATTCCGGTAACTCAATTGAAGCTTTTAAAAGCAATGCAGTATAGGATGCAAGGTGATGCGGGGGTTAGAGGTGTTTAGGCGGCATGGCAAGTTCTGAGCTGCTTATTGCCCAGCCGAGGGTTTAGGGTTCTAGGGGAATATAGGGGTTTCCCAAAATTAGAGGTACCTTTTCGGGGGTCCTAACCATAAGGATTATAGCGCTTTGGGGTCTATATGTTGGGGTCCCTTTGTGGAAACTACCAATATAGCCCCAGCTGCAGCCAAGCCGAACTAGAACAATCACTTGGTAAAGAACGTAGCGCATGCAGGGCATGGATGGCTAGCATGGAGCTTTGCAATCAACAGTTAAGGGGTGTTGTCTTGGTGGGTGAGTCCATGGTCATGTGAGCTACAGTCACTATTTTCAACATAATCTAACGGACAGGGGTTCCGTGTTGTAGGGGCCATATTAGGGACTATACTGAACTAAAAGAGGGACCCCTATGTCCATGTTGAAGGTCCCTTAGCAAGACGGCAGCCCATGTGTACGCCAACCAGAGGGTTCTGGGTTTACCTGTAAGTCCAAGTGCATACAGCCTGGTAAACCCTAAACCCTAATGGGTAGGTGTAACCCATAAAGCTGTAGGGCTGCAGGTAAAAGGGAATGCTGGCAGGGTTTGGTACGTACCCAATGAAAATACTTCAGGAGCATCAGCGGGAAGTTTGCTAAGAATACACAAAACCCGAAACCCTAAAATGCAAGTTCGTCGGGGATGGGTTCATAAGTAAGTTTTGACAACCATGCTTGTTCAAGCATGCCTCTTTGTAGCCCACACTCCACAAAAAAAACATTTAAAAAAAAATCAACCCCCTCCCCCAAGAATAATCCCCTCCCCCAACATTAAAATACTAGGGAGAGTATTTATCATTAGGGGGGCCAGGGGTTCATTATCACCCCCGAAACCCTAAACCCGAACTTACATAGTAGTTTCCATTTGCTCTGCCATGCCCATATATATATCCCTACATACTCCATACGGAGGGACACCCCTCAACATACGCTCTATAAGATTTTAAAATGTGAGCATAGATTTTTCTCTATATATACATGTCATACCCCCTATATACTGTATAATATATACCCCACCCTTCATACTCTAAAAGGAGGGAGTGGATTAGAAGCTTAGGCCGGCGGACCTCCCCTTCCTCCACAGCATCCGAGTCTTCTGGAGAAACCTGGGTTCTTGTTGAAATCTCTCATCACCAAAACCCTAAACTCTAAAACACCAACCCCTAACCCCTAAACCCTAAACCTTAAACCCCGAAATAGACCCTAACCCACCCATAAAACCTGACAAGTGTTTACCCCCTAAACACTAAACCTCAAATCCTAAACCCCTAAACCCTAACCCCCGCCCCCGGTCCCGTAAAACATGTAAAATGTTATACTAAACTTCAAATCCTACACCCCTTAACCCTAACTCCCCCCCCCTATAAAAATGTAAAATGTTATTCAACAAGAATCCAGAAACTTCCGGCATTGAGTGTTGGGCTTGGACCTCGGCGCCTCGCGGGGGGAACCGTTTGAGCCATAGTCCAAAGTCCTAGCGTCCGTCCCCCTTAATAACCCCTTGGCCTAGGGTTTAGGATGTAGGGTTTAGGATTTAAGGTTTAAGGTTTAGGGTTTAGGATTTAGGGTTTAGGATTCAGGGTTTAGGGTCTAAACTCCTAGTAGCCCCCTCAATTTCCCCTCCAGTAGTTCACCCCGCTAAGGAGTTTGGACTACAGCTCATTTGGAGTTCAGAGGGCGCATCGACCCCGGAACTTAATCTGCTCCTATTAGGGTTTAGGGCTTGGGTGGGGCAAGAAGTTACGCAGTACGTCTCTCGTATTGGCTAAGCAGTTCAGAACAGGTTTTCTGTTGAATGCAGATCCTACTTGTCAACGAAACTCCTTCCCAGCTTCAAAAACGGGAATAAGACAAGTACAGCATCTGGTGCTCCCCAAAACCGAACCCATTAATTCCTGCATGGACCAAGGTAGCCTGGAGACACAAGTTCCCACTCCTGTCTCGCTGTACCTCTGACTAACCATGTGATGTCCAAAAAGGAGCCATATCCTAAAAACATGACTGTGAGCCGATCCCCCGCGCGATAAAAAAAAAGTCCTTCCACGGTGCCTTGTCCAAACCCTAAGAAATCTGCCAAACCCTAAACCCTAAACCCTTAACCCTAAAACCCTAAACCCTAAACCCTAAAACCCTAAACCCCACAACACCTTAGCTGCAAAATTTCAGCCCTGAACCCGAGGGCCGCAACACCTGGGCTTCCAATAGCTACCCAAACATAAGCCAGAATAGGCTTGAATGCCTAATAAAAATTTGCTTTATAAGGATTCTATCTGGATTTCAGGGTAATAAAGCACATAATGACATTTTCAAACCCCTAAACCCTAAACCGTGTGGCCCAGGTCCCTATGCCTTCCGCGATTTCCTCGTCGGTGCCCTTGACTGCACTGGTGCCCTGCATGGCCCTGGAGCGTGCTTGCTTGCATGGAAAGTCAGCTTCGAATCGCACCTTTAGGATTCTGAGGATGTGTAGGGCTAAGCCCTAAACCCTAAACCCCAAACCCCAAACCCTAATTAAACCCTAAGCCCTTAACGTCCAGATCGTGGAGCCGCCCTGAAGGGTGCTTTAGGAGCCATTGCTGAGCCTTACTTAGCTCAAGGCATCAGGCTTAGGATTCTGGGACTGATATTTGCGCTGGTGAAATTTTTTTGGCTTTCCCGAAATTATGGGTAATTTTGGGTGTCCCCATAATAGGGGTTATAGTTTTTGGGGTCTATGTTGGGGCCCCATGTATGGACACTATCATGCGGGTTTCAGGGTTAGCGGCTCAGCTTAGAACACCACTGCTGTTGGCTCAGGCTTATGATAGCTCATGTGGAGAAGGTATCGTGGGTTCCGAGCCTTTTGGTTCCATCAAGTCCCTTCCTCCAAATAGTCAACCTCATCATTCAGGAGATGGGTTACCTGCGAATACAGTCAAATTTGAAGCTTTGAACATCTTATTAGCTTTGTAATTTCCAAGGGCCTCAATACTTGATTAGGCTTTGAAGGCGTTGGGGGCCTGTTGTGGTGGTGCTGTGTCCTTGGAACTACAGTATCCAACGAGCGTAGTAAACTCGAGGCCGCAAACACAGACATCCCTAAGCAACATAAATCTAAAACCCTAACGGCCCTTGCACCTCCCTGACTTCTGATCTCCAAGCTAGGCCCCAAAAGAAATGAGTACTAAGCCTCAAGCCCATCAAATCTCACATTCCTATGTGATGCAGGAGCTTCAACAATTGCACTAGGGCTTTGCGGTACACTATACTATGTATGTTTGTATGCGGATAGTTCTAGAAGACTATGGTTACGTAATCATTTAGCGTTCAAGTACGCCCTACACGAATCCTGCATTATGCCACCTAATTGCTGTGTTCCAACAGAGGCACAACGACCTATGTGAAACGTTGTTTTTACGCGTCCTTCGTACACTCCCACCAACCCTAAACCCTAACCCCTATACCAACCGGCATAGTCCCTACAGGATAATGTCAGATCCTCATAAACGTCAATCAAGTCATAAAAAACTCACATTCCATGTCGTCTGCCATTGCCTTGTCCATTTGATTCTGCATTAGTGAGGTAACAAACCAGATAATGACAATATGGCCCTCTGAGCATAGATATATACCTATACATATATGTTCGTAACAGTTTTCCATGGCATTTTCCTCACCATTTGATTCTCCACCCGTGAAGTCTACCCACGCATGGCTTGGGCCCTTGCTGGTCCACCTGGAAGAAGCTGGGCGCAGGATCCGCTTTGTCTGGACCTCTTCAGGACTACGGTGGATACGAAGAATCCTGCATGACCCTAAGTACCTTATACTTTGGGAATAATCGTATTATGGTATATTAGGATCATGCAGGATTTTTAGTATCAACAGTAGTAGTAGATATAAGACGCTGTAGGACCCCACCTGGTTATAGCTGTGGCTTTCCCCATGCGAGTTTCAGGTTGGGAGGCATGTCAGAAAGGAAGGACGCCTTTTTTACAACAAAATGCTACCCGCCGCAATGCTTCGTAGCCCAATGGCCATATTACAATAAGGGTACCTTTTTGTTGCTGGTTAATTTTTGCACCCAAAAAGGGTAAAGGGGCACCACTGGGCTTCATAGAATAATCCTCCGGAGGTATAAGGGTTTAGTGGTGGTGTCGAGTGGCAGGCTGCGCAGATGTCTTCAAAGAATTAAAGAACTTGGGGTTAAGGAGGCTGGGCCCGTACGCAAAACACATGCGGTTTAGAGTTTAGGGTTGCAAAGTCCTGTGGCCTGTTAGGCAAATCCCAATCACATACAGGCTTAGCACAATGATGACGCCAAAGACTGAGAAGACACCGCAAATATTATCCTGGCAGGGAGTTCACGTTGCGTGGAGGGCGTGTTGAATACACGTTTTAGGGTCCTTGCATTCTGGCTGCTATAGAATTCAGACTTAAATACATCTTACATCCTGCGGTGCAGCATGTGTATATATATATATGCATATGTATACCCTATTGTAATATAGCAGTTTCCTTTTCTTTTCCATTATGCCAATATACCCCCTATAACCGCATCTGAGAAAAACAGAACGGCCAAACTGAGAAGTCCAAAGGCCCTGCATTATATAGGGAGAATGGAAAAGAAAATGGAAACTACCATATCATAGTAGGGAAGATATAGAGGTTGTATAGGCATAATGGACAAGAAAATGCAAACTACTATATTATAGGTGCTATACAGGCATAACAGAAAAGAAAATGGAAACTACTATATTACAGGAGGTTTGCAGAGGAATGGACAAGACTATGGAAGCTACTGCATTGTTCCAGGTTTAGCGGCTTCAGTGGTAGGGCTTATGAGGAATGAAAGAACGGAGATGAAAACGAGTACTTCCACATAACATCGTATATTATAGTATATCATTGTAGATTATAGCATTGTAGATTATACTTGCGATAGTATAGTATAATAGTATAGTACTACCACATAATTAGTGGTATTCTTGGGCCTGCTATAGGGATCCATCGGTCCCCTATACCCCAAAACCCAAACCACAAACCCTAAGCCCTACACCCTAATGAAACCTAAATACCCCAAACCCTAAACCCTAAATAAACCCTACATCCATCCAGACTGGCTGCCTGCGCCCTGGGACCAGGCCTTCACAGGGTTCGGAGCATATGGGAGTCTTGGTGGGTTTAGGGTCTAGGGTTTAGGGCTTCAGGTTTGGGAGTTAGGGCTTAGGGTGTAGGGTTTAAGGATTTAGGGTTTTCTCAACAGAGAGGTATCTGAGGTCCCTTCAATGGAATAGAGTTCAGATGCACCTTAGCTTCCTTGATCGAGCTCTGGAGCAAGGGTTGAAGTTCAGGAGGGGTACTTTACGTCCCTGGAAAGGGTTTCAGATGCAGGGTTTAGGGCTACCTGAGGCTCCTCGAAGGAGTTTAGGGTTAAGGGCTGGACTTTAGGTCCCCTTACGTGGACTATGGGGATATGTAAGTTTGGCATTCAGACAAGAAAGGTTTAAAGCTTATCAAAAAACGGTCCTCGGGGACGACTGGCAGGTGTCCCTCAAGAGACTCCAGGATTCAGGGTTCATTTTGGCGATGGACTGTTGGAGTCCTTGTCTACCGAGTCTCCCCAACACATTACGAGTGGAGGCTGGGATGTGAAGGAACTAAACGGTAACCACCTCAACAACCTCAGAATCCTCCAGGCAAGCTGAGGGCAAAGGGTGTTTTGCTCTTGAGCTTCAAAATATGAAGAACCTCGAATCGGTTGCGAAGTTCCTTTCCGAGATGTTTTGGGCAAGTTCAGGATGCAGGTTTTGGGGGCCCGTGGGCCACAGGGATTTAGGGTTTAGGGTTGAGGCTGGGGCTTTGACAGAACCAATTGAAAGGCAAGTTTACCTCTGACAAAGAATGACAACATGGATCCTGCTAGTCATCCCAACGCGATCTTCAACAATACGGCGGTTGACATTTCCTTTCCGTTCCCCTCTGTATCCTTATATAACCCTAAGTTCCAGCTCATGTGTCATTTGCTTTTCCATTTGCTTCTGCAGTTTTGTAGTTTCAACTTCCTCCTTCATTCCCTAAACCCTAGACCCAAATTCCCTAAACCCTACGTAAGTAGTAGCTTCGATTGTCTTTTCCATGCCTCCCCCCTACCCTAACTCCCTAAATCTTAGTAGTTTCCTTTTTTTCCACTCCTCCATTCCCTGCTGAACAGTGCTAAACTCCGGCATCGTGCCAAGCAGGAATTTAGGGTTTAGGTTCAGGGTTTAGGGTTCAGGGTTTACTGTTCAGGGCTCAGGTTTTTTTTGCCACTTGCATGGCCGAAGCAGCGCAAGGCTTCAAGGATTAGGGTTGAGGGTTTAGGTTTAGTACTTGGAGGCTCAGGGGGACTTAGTATACCTATGACACCCATGAGCCATATAGTAATTTCAGCTATCCCCACTTCCATCCAAATTACTAAGTCCCCTTGGCCCTAAACTCTAAAGCCTAAACAAGGTGGTAGCCTTTCAGCTTCTTGTCCATTATTCTTCCAAGTACTAAGTCCCTCTGACCCACCAAGTACTAATGAGGTGACCGAGACGCGGAGAAGCAGGAAAAAGACAAGGAGCAGCAGTAGCAGGAAGAGCAATATAGCTTCAACATGATGACGGTCATTATCACTGACATTATTCTCTTGTGTAGCAGTGGCAACAGCAGCAGTCCTTGATGTTGCTGCTGTCAGCACTTGTTGCTGCTGCTGCTGCTTGACTGCTTGACTTCCTGTAGCTGCTGTATCTGATGTTGTTGATGCTGCTGTTGTTGCCATAACTGCAGCCGTTGTCTTTGCTGGCTTGCATCTAGTGACTCCACACTTGAGCACTCGTGTCCCCCATTCCGCATCCAAGCCATGAATATCGATTGCCGTATGGTGGTCCTATAAATCTACGGCTCAAGGAAAGACCTACATGCTTGTCGATCAGAACAAAGTTCTTGATACACACCCCTTGAAGAATGAGCGCTCTCTCGTAGGGACCACAGGAAGAACCATCATCTGAAGAGAGATCCTTCCAACCCCTTTCAAAACCACAGACATTGAAACTTTGAGACCCTTGAGCCCTACACCTCAAAACCTGGAACTGGCCCATGACCACGCTTCACTCCTTATGTATGTGTTCCCAACCGCTCAAACACTGGCACAGTTCCCATGATGCTCCCATACTGTTGATACTACAAATCCTGCATGATCTTAGTACTGTGGTACCATTAGTCCCAAGGCATAAGGTACTCAGGGTCATGCAGGATTTTTAGTATCCCCCGTAGGACCCCGTGGAAGGCTTGTGGGATGGTACTGACATCGTACGATCCCAGAACATCCTCTTCATGACATACTCATGAGTGGTCCCCAGAGAAACTCCTAAATCGACAACCCTGACACCCAAGCCCTAAACCATAAAACCCTAAAACGCCCTAAACCCTAGATCCTAGAACCCTAAAGCATCAAGTGAGCCCTTTCATTTGGGCGGTTCCCAGATTAGGGGTATCCTGTTGGGGTCCCCTTAGTAAATACTATAGGACTTTGGGGTGTATATTGGGTCCCTATTTTGGGAAACTACCATACAGAGCTGCACGCCGGAGCCTTCTCTGAGGCTTTAGGCCCACATTCGTCATCTATGCCTTGGAATTGAAGCAAAGCTGCCTTACCCAAAAATTGTCTTACTCTTGTCACCTTAGCTTTTTAAGCATTTGCAGTATCTAGAATCTAGGGGGTTACATGAGGATGATGGAGAAGAAGATGGAAACTATTTCGGGCTCAGGATTGCTGTGTCGCTAAAGTGCCGTTTATTGCTGGGGTCCATCCCTATCGTAAAATAAGCTGCTTAGAGGCGAAGTTTGCCACCGCAGCTGGGGTTGGACCTTGGTACTTTGCTCAGGGTGTCCGAAATTAAGGGAGTTCCCCATGTGCAGAGGTGGGGACAGAGTAATCCTTCTATTGCAGCACTCTCTCTAAGGCGGAGTAGGCAGCCTCGATAAGCTAGCGCACTTTTCGAAACGCTTGCCGTCAAGTGCCCCAAACCCTGTAACAAGGTTGAATAAGGACCCTCTAGATTCTTATGATATTCATGGAGTCGTTATTGAGGGGGTGGGGCTTCTCAGTTGCTGTTACAATTTATGAAATTGTATGAGCTGAAAACCGAGAACAGGGATATCAACCTCAGCAACTGCAAACTTGCAACCCCCACATAAGGATTGTGGTGGCCTGAAAACATCCCCGACTACCAGTGATACTAGTGTTGAAGGAGTCTCCAACTACTTGGAAGGTCAGGGGGACTTAGTAAGTAGGTTAATAAGAAAGATAACCAGGATTACTATGTGGGTTATAGGGGTTACTAACCTACTTAGTAAGTCCCTGACCCTAAACCCTAAACCCTGAAACCTGAACCCTAGACCCTAGACCTACTTAATTAGTCCCCATGACCCTCCAAGTACGTACCCCCAGCTCGATAGTATAGATATTATATTTGGATATGGAAAATGGAAGCTGCTGTTTATGGTTTAGGGTTATATTGGGGTTATATTGGGACAATGGAAAATAAAATGGAAACTACTAGCCAGAGTTTACTGTAGGGTTTAGCTAGTTCAAGGTAGTTCCACTACGAACAATAGCGTCATCTATCCTAGTATGCCCTACATCCTAAGCCCTCATTACCAGAGACTTTGAGGCATTACGGGCTATGGCTCGGCTAAATCCTGCCTAGCTCAGGGCACAAAGCAACATCGCCGGAACGAGGCGTTGCGATGTAGCATCTAATACTTATCCCGAACTAAACTAAGCCCTCTAAACGACCCTGCACTCTAAATCCTGAACCTGGAGCCCAAAACCCCGAGCCCTAACTAGACCCTAAATACCCCAAACTATAGACCCTAAGCCCCAAACCTTAGACCCAAAAACCCCAAACCCTAGCTCAGCCGAGGCGAGCACACTTGTGGCCGAAGCTTTGCAGCTTGCGCGAGGTCAGCGAGAGCAAGATTCCATCTCGCTCCTGCGCCATGCCAGGACCCTAAACTCTCGCGGTTTCGGGTTTAGGGGTTTAGGGTTTAGGGGTTAGGGGTTTAGGGTTTAGGGTTTTAGGGTTTAGGGGTTTAGGGTTTAGGTATATGTTCTTGGAAGAGTCTTAGCTCTAAGGCTGGGGTATTGCGAGACACCAGTGTTATCTACATCCGAAATTACATGGGGCTATATATACATATATATATATATACATATATGGGTGGATGTCAAAATTGTGGTCCCCTCTTGGGTCCCTATTATAACACGGCACCTAATATTTAGGGTACCCAAAAAGGGACCCTAATTTTGACAAAGACCCATATATTGTTACGTGATCACACTTTGGGTTTTCGCGTACCTAAGTCTTCCTGAGCCTTCCGCTCCTTTGCCACGCTGGGAGAAGCTTTCCGAAAAAAAATATTCAGACTGGTCAGTATAAACTCCAAGCCCTAGATACTGCACTGCCTCACACCCTAATTAACCGCTGTGAACCCTAAACCATTACCTGGAAGTAGTTCTGTTGGCAACCCCCCCATATCCAGGGAAGCCAGGGATTATATCATGGGTTCGCCTACTACCCCCCCTCTATACTAACCCCCCCTAGGTTCCCACACTTAATTGAGGGATAGTTACGCCTAATTAAGGTCAATTTAGGGGGAGCCTACGGGGTGAGTATAGAGGGGGGTAGTAAGGAAACCCATGATTATAGGGGAGTTAGAGAGGGAGTAGCTGGATAGGAGTGTAGGCATGGCTGTCAAAGCCAGCGCTCAAGTTGTGGGAGTGTGGATCTTTTCCGTGTAATTAGGGTTCAAACCCTAAACCCTAAACCCTTGAGTATTCTACTGGAAGCCCTTCATGGCCCCCAAAGACTTACAAGGAAGCCCTAGACATGAGAGTCTGCCGGAGGCAGTATAGCATTGGCACCCGTGACGTTTGCTGTGCCATGTCCGCATATCTGGGTTAACTGTAAAGATGTTTATGATAAAGCAAGCACTCCAGCACTAGATACATACTGTTGAGACTAAGTATACTGCAGCCAGCAGCAGGCCCCACCCTGTTCACCCGCCTTCGGGCATAGACAGTGTTTCTTGCAACCGCACTGCGCAGAGTTGACGCATAACAAACCTCCCTGTGGCTGTACAAGGGCTGGGCACGCATACCACGAAGCACAAGTGCTAGAGGGATTTAGGGTGTAGGGTTTAGGGCTCTATGTACATACTAAGGGATCAGAGGATATCACCTGGTTCTAACTCGGTTTTGGCCCGGGCTGTGTCACGTCATGAGGAACTCAAATCCAAAGAACCCAACCAAAAGAACTCAGAACTGAACATAGGCGTGGAACTGGGGCTTCACACAGTTTAGGGTTTAGGTATCTGGCGTCAATCATGCTTGAGTATTCGCGACGATTCAATCCTCCTCACAGTCCTGCGTGTAAACTTGCGCGGATTATTTGACAACAGCCCAGCTGTGATGGCCTTGTCCTCAGGTACCAGTACTTTTCCCACCTGAGGCTTTGGGAGAATCTTCCGTTTAAGCTTGAAACATATGGGTCTGGATCAAGACTATTCACAACCTACACCCTAAACCGCATGAAATCTGAACTACGGCTCCATGTCGTTCCAAGCTGAGGAAAGTTCCGTGAAGCCTAATCCGCCCAAACCCAAAAGCCCTAAACCTCTGTTTCCTGTTCGTAGGTCAGATTCAGGCTCTAAACTAGCGACTTATAGTCCCCCTTAAGTAGAATACGGTTTTGGGTATATTATAATAAGATCCCCAGAAACCCATATTCTATCTACTTAAGGGGGACTACAAACTCAGGCAATGCCATTGCAGAGAACCCCTTAGAGGATTGAGTGCAGCAAAGCGCGTTCCTTGAAAGTATGTACAAGATGCAGTCATGGATGTTGAGTTTAAGCTTGGGGGTAGATAGGCATGCAACACTTGTGTTGCACGGCTACAGGATATTACCTGCTTATGTCTTGGCTTATTCCCTACCTGCAGCCCCTAAAAACTCAGTTCCCATGTCTTGTTTGAAACGTTTTACTTGGATATTCCACCCTCAACCCTCAACCCTAGATATAGTCCCCCTTAAGTAGATAGAACATGGCTTTGGTTATATTGTAATAAGATCCAATCCATTTTCTATCTACTTAAGGGGGACTATAACCCCTAGAACCTGGGTTTGCCGAGTCCTGGTCTGCTTTGTAACTTCATCTAGCTACGGGTTTAGGGTCGCGTGTGCAGCAT